TTTTTTAAGTAAATTATCTGGTAGAGGTGTATTTCTTGAAGATTTGGCAGGCTTGAATGATGAATTGTTGAAGAATTTAATGTTTTTGAAAAGATACGATGGTATGATTAATCAATTAATCAATTTAAATTATTATTATATTTTATATATTAAACAACAATTATTATTGATTATTAATTACTAGGAAATGTTGAAGATTTAAGTTTATATTTTTCCGTCGATGAAGAAATTGATGATAAAATAATTTCAAAAGATCTTAAACATGTAAATTATTGTTATTCATGTTATTCATGCTATCATGCTATTCTTGTTGGTATTGTTATGATCATTTTTAGTAATTATATAATACCATTATTTAGAATGGCTCACATATTAAAGTTACAAATGATAATAGAATTCAGGTTAATGATTAATCTATTAATTTATTTATTTATTAATTAAATTTATCAATGGTGTTATTAATGTCATTATTATTATCATTTAGTATATTTATTTAATGGCAAATTATAAATTAAATCAACAAACTAAAGAGCAAACAGAATCATTTATTAATGGGTAATTAATTAATTAACTTGATCAATTGATCAATATAAAAGTAAGAAGAATTATCAGTAAACAATATCATCATCATTATTATTATTTTCAGATTTCAATCGATTATTCCTAAAAATTGGTTGAGAATGTTCTCTCCGCCAGAATTACAAAGGTTGTTATTTTTATTTATTTTTTAAATAAACATATTGTTTTAATTAACTTTATTAACTTTATTTTTATTAAAGAGTTATTTCTGGAGATGACGATGATTGGGGTAAAAAAAAAACAATATAATTATAATAGTGATGATGGTGATGATGATAACAATAATAATAACAATTTTTTGTTGATTTTAGATATCACAGATTTGAGGAGATGTACAGAGTATAAAGAAGGTTATTTTGATCAACATCCTTGTATAAGAAACTTCTGGTCAATTTTAGAAGATTTTAAATCCAATGATAAGAAAGCATTGTTAAAATTTGTTACAAGTTGTTCAAAGGTAGTTTTGATATAAATAAACTGATTGATTGATTGAAAACTTTTATTATTAATAACATTATTATTATTATTAATATCAAATCAAGCCTCCACTTGGTGGTTTCAAGTAAGTTAATAAACAACAACAACAACAACAACAATAATAGCAATAATAATATCATTATTATTATTACATAATGCTGATTAATTTCCTATCTATCTTCTCTTAAAGATTCTTAACTCCTAAATTTACAATTTGTAAAGTATCAATTGTGCTTGAATCTGACTCACCATTATCAACAACAACACCAAATAGTAATAATTTATCATCAAATTTAAGACAAGTTAAATCTTTATTTTCTTCAATTTCCTCCAATTTAAAAACTTCTGTTACTAATACAAGTAAAGCCAGATTACCAACAAGTTCCACATGGTAAAACAAAACATTTTTTTTATGATTGTTAAAGATGAAAAAACTCTTTATGGTCTACTTACTAACTTAATTAATTAATTAATCATTTTTAATAGTTTTAACTTATTAAGGCTGCCAGGTAAATATAATACATCTATTGTTGAAATTACAAATCATAAATTGGAATTAATGAAAATTATACTTTTTTTTTTTTTCAATTAAATAATAAAGCATATTCATCAAAATCTATAATGAAAGAGAAACTTAAATATGGTAAAATATTTTTGATTAATTGATTATTTATTTATTTACGCGATTTTAAATATTAAATTCAAAGCAACTAACCAATTAAAATTTTCATCCTAACAACAATATGATACAAAATATAAATAGCAATAGATTCAAACACTGGTTTTGAACTGGCTTGAATAATTTTTCTTTAATATATTAGAAATTAATTATTTATTTATTTATTTATTTATTACGTGATTTAGTTTTAATAAAATATTTCAGTTACATTCCTTCTTAATTACTTCGTTTATGATACTTTTTTTAGTTATTTTGCTTTTGATGATTTTTCATCTTCTTCATCTTCTTTATCATACTTTTTAAAGAACCATAATAACAAACTACCAGAAATAAAAGCACATACAGCTAATGATGAATACATATAAACTAAATAAGGATCTTTTGACAATGGTACAATCAGCAATCCTATTGCTGAACTTATTCCACTTGTTGTTAAAAATAAAGCAGTAACTGTTGAGCGGAATGATTCTGGCGCCTATATTAATTATTATTATTTAATTGATATATATATGTATATATATATTGTATGTATTATATATAAATATTTACCTTATCGTATGCATAACTTAATCCAGTGATACTTGCAAAAACTTTTAGACAATCAAAGATTAAAAATTAATATTCAATAAGAATAATAATTAATTTTTTTTAAACAATAAATAAAAACCTTCTGAAAATCCAATTAGAACATAAACAGGTGTTTGCCACCAAACACTTATATCATTTGGAACAGGTACACCATCTATTTCACATCTGGTATTGATATAACATGGACCAGTGGTATAGATAAAATGTTGAATTATTGCCGAGTAAGCCATAGCCAAACTGATCAACATGAATCCAATAAAGATACGAGTGATTGGACGTATAATTATGTTAAATCTTTGTAAAGTTGGATATCTAAAGAAAAATTATATTTAGATTATTAAATAAATATATATATATATATTATAATATCATCTCAAATTACTTACAATACATAGTTAGCAAAAGGTATAAAAATCATTAAAGCAACTGGATTTAAATTATTCATTACATCATTTGGTACTTTGCCAACTTGCATTGTAGCAGCTTGTGATATTAAATTATTAACCATTTGCAAGTAGCAAATCCAATAAAAAGGGTAGAACAAAAAAACCTTGCAAACTTTTAAAACTTGTTTAAACTCGTCAACAAATTTATCCGACCAATCTACATTATACTTTTTAGCTTTTGCTTCTTTTTCATCATCACTACCAGTGAACAATGTTTTAAAATTTGATGGTTTAAAATTATCCAGATTAGTGCTTCTAAATGTAATAACCAATCCTGTTATTCTAAAAAAATTTAAAATCGAATTATTATTGGCATTGTTATCTTCTCCTTCGATCTTATTATTGTTGTTACTGGCTTTGACATTGTTGGGCTTATTTTTAATCAATCTATTTCGATTAACTAGTAAGATAAAGATTGAAGGTACGAATACGAATATTGGAATCAAATAAGCTAGCCAGTATGAATGATATTTTTCAATGACTGTGATAATTAATGGAGACAGGGCACCAATATTTATTGACAAATAAAACCAATGAAATATCGATTGGATGGTTAATTTCGGATCAACTATAACCTCTTCTTCGTCATCATCGACATCTTCTCGTTTCTCTCCCTGATGAAGAGTTTCATTTTTTTTTCGTTCAATTTTTTTAACAAATGGTCTTGTATTTGTATATTGATCAGCAGTCAAAGGACCAACATTACTTTTGATACCACCAGTACCAAAACCTATGATTAACATTGAGATGATAAGGCCGATAAAAGAAACACCACTTGACGCGATAGCTTGTGGAATTGATGTTAACACTAAAACTGTTAATCCGATCGTGTAAACAATACTAAAAACTATTATTGTTTTAAACCTTCCAAGATAATTGTCAGCAATTACAGAACCCAATAAAGGTGTTATGTAACAAAAGAATTGAAAAAATAATGTCAAAGAGGTTGCAGTTTGTTGACCGGCTCCAATCGCGCCTGGTTGTCGATCACTTGGGGAAGATGATGGTGGTGGTGGTGGAAATTGAATGTAGTTTTGAAATGGACCGGAAATTCCATAATAAGTAAATCTTTCACAAAATTCACACAATATAACAAACCAAGCACCTATTATAAATGATTTTATTATTATATAAAAAAAAAAAATAGTAAGTTAATGTATACTTATTTATCTATAAATATTACTGTCAAAGCTCGTCAGAGTGAACTCTCGGCTCCATACGTTAATTATGAAAAAATAAATTGAAAAAAGAAAACATTCACTGTAACGAGCAAGGTTTTACTATTATCTACAGTGACGGGGGGTTTACTATTACTATTGTTCATTGTAATAACGACGAACGAGGTTCACTTGTTCGATTGTGAAAATTAAAATATTACTGACCAACAGGTAATTTATCCGATACTTTTCTTAAATTTGTCCAATCGTCTAAGCTTGGAGTCCTCCCATCCTCCGTTTCTCCTTTTTTTTCCACTTTAATAGCTACATCTGTTTGGTCAGCCATCATAAAAGTAAATATTTTTTAATAAAATAAAATAAAAAAACTTTTCATTGGGTTTTGCTAGTTTTTGTCATGATTAGTCTATATATATATATAATATAATATAATTTTATCATTATTGATAAATGAAACAATAATTAATGATTTCGTATGGCGGGTGGATTTGTCACATGCGATTTTGGCATAATAATAGTAATTATTATATTAATATTAATATATATCTATATATATATATGAAATCATGAAATATTAAATTGATGTGGTTTCTAAGCTAAAAATGCTCTTTGAAATGAGATACACATACAAATTTAAGGTTAATTGTGCTATCATATATGACGTCCGTTTTATTAGTGGTGAATAATATTCATTGGTTGGATTCATTAAATCTTTGTTAATTCATTGAATAATTAAAAATGATATTAATATTCAATGAATAGTTAATGGTTGATCAATATTTTCTTGAACCTTAATTGATTCAATTGCCGCCCATTTAAAGTTGGAAAAGACCTTAGCCACAATATAACTGAAGAAGGCAATAATAGGATAATGGAGGATTCTGCCGCGGTTCATATTCTGAAGAAGAGCAAACGAGGTTTTAAGAAGTCAATTCGAATGTGCGGATTTGACGAAAGAAAGCGAGAAAAAAGTTATTGCCAAATCAATGTATCCGAGATCTTTGATACTATTTTTCGTTGTGAATTGTTGTTGTAGTACGTGGTGATGAATCTATATATCGTACATTTGTTATCTGCTCATGTGTAACAAAAGATAAAAAAAGCAAACGAATATTGAATGAATGAATAAATTCGATGAATGCAGAATTTGCTAACATTTAGATTAAAAATCAAGTTTATGCATTACATAAAATTGCCACTCCTTGAGAACTAATAATAAGAACAGTCTAATGTTTGAAAAACTTAAAAAACTAAACTATCAATTATGCAATAAAAGTAAATTATGCGCTAATTATGCACATAAAATTTTTTAATTATGCAATTTATTTGAATCATAAATTCTTGATTTTTTCTTATGGGCAATGATTGTCAAAGGCTCCATTCATAAAATGATCACAAAAAATATCCCCCATCAACATGATTTGAAAGTAATTTGAAGGTGACTGACTGCACTACAATTCTGGATTAAATTTAAATCCAAAAAAGGAAGCTCGAACTAAAAAAATATCATCACTAATACATTTTTAATTACTCTTCATAAATATATAATTACCTAAACAGAAAGAATACACCAATCAGCTTTCAATGTTTATAATTTCTCCTTTTTTATAAATATTTGACGTTGATCGCGCGATAATAATAATAATAATAATTATTATGCATTATTCATAATAAGGAAAAATACCCGTCCGTTATTAAATGTATGAAGTCACGTGCAATTTTAATATTAACAAAACAAAAAAAAAATGTCTAATTAGGGTCGTATTTTGAATTAAATTAATATTTTTTGACCAAGTTGTCACTAATTTGTTTGTTGAAATTGGGGTTATCTGCTTTGTTAAATAAACCTATCTTTTTAAAACAAATCAAAAAATTCAATTATATGAAAATCAAAGTTGGTTTTTTAAAAAAACAATTTATAGTGATTTTAATAATAGAACTCAACGATTATATAATATTGCAAAATATTTTTATTAATAATATTACAATTTATTTGTTCTCTATATAATTTACATTATACCATGTCTTATATCATTGTTTATTCAAATAATCGTGTTTTTATTTTAAATAATCGAAGGTTTGATTTTTTTTATTTAATATATAGTACTAGGTCATATGAAATGGTTTTCAGTGCAATCCAGTATACGTAGAGATAGAGTCAGTTATAAAGCAAAATCCAGTATAGAAAGATCCGTTATGATTATAAGGAGAGTGGACTGTGTTTTATGTAATGCACATACATACATATGCTTCCTTTATATGGTGGTGTTAAGAATGGTCAGATCTAATTGGTGTGAAGATATTCGAGGACAAATAGGTCTTATTTTTATTAACGTTAGGTACTTTACAGTCGTGATATATTTATTGTTGGTATATATATTATTGATATGTTGATGGAGTAACCGCAAAAGAAAGCCAATATGAAACATTTGCTATACCGGTAATTTGGATTATATTAGAAACTATTGTCGATAGGTTTATTTTACTAATAAAGTGACTATAAATCAAAACAAATTTCAGTGTAATTATATAACATAGTGATGATATACAAATCTATTTTTTTTTTAAAAAATATTAGTCTCATATTAAAATTTTATTAATATTAATAAAATCACACATTTCTATATTATTGATGACGTCGCTGACTCTACCCTTAATTCTTATTATAATATATTCAATATATTAATACATGAAAGAAATTTAAATTATGAGATATATCAATCATTTTTAGAACGAATTCAAAAAAATGATGAAGTAGCAATAAGAATATTAAATTTATTACCACATACAATACCATTCGAGACACGCTTGGATATATTTCGTCAATATCTATCAAAGATAAATAATACACACACTTTCCCAACAATTATTCATGATAGCAGTAATTGCACAGTAGTTAAAGTTAGAAGAGGACATGTGGTTGAGGATGGATTTAAATATTTGGGTGGATTGAGTTCTGCTCGTATTCAGGGAAAGATTTTTGTAAAATTTGTTAATGAAATGGGTAAACTTTTTATTCATTTTTGGATTCAAGAGTAGTTAATTAAATGATTGATTTTAAAAATTATTATTATAAATTATTATTTTATTTAATGTAGGGATTGCGGAAGAAGGAATCGACCAAGGCGGACCATTTAAAGAATTCATGACACAATTAATTGCAGAAGGTTTTATTTAGTATTTAAATATTAAATATTAATAACTATATTATAATGATGATTATTTATTTATTATTATTATGTTAATATTTTCATATTATATATATATATATATATAGCATTTGATCCATCATTCGAGTTATTTTCTTTGACACCAGACAATTCATATGTTTATCCTAGTAGTAGTAACAGCAAAAATTCTAAATTAAAATCATTGCTTATAACCAAAGCAAATGTTTACAGATTTTTAGGATGCATGCTGGCTAGGTCAATACAAGAAGGAATATTGGTTGATATACAATTTGCTAGATTTTTTTTAAGTAAATTATCTGGTAGAGGTGTATTTCTTGAAGATTTGGCAGGCTTGAATGATGAATTGTTGAAGAATTTAATGTTTTTGAAAAGATACGATGGTATGATTAATCAATTAATCAATTTAAATTATTATTATATTTTATATATTAAACAACAATTATTATTGATTATTAATTACTAGGAAATGTTGAAGATTTAAGTTTATATTTTTCCGTCGATGAAGAAATTGATGATAAAATAATTTCAAAAGATCTTAAACATGTAAATTATTGTTATTCATGTTATTCATGCTATCATGCTATTCTTGTTGGTATTGTTATGATCATTTTTAGTAATTATATAATACCATTATTTAGAATGGCTCACATATTAAAGTTACAAATGATAATAGAATTCAGGTTAATGATTAATCTATTAATTTATTTATTTATTAATTAAATTTATCAATGGTGTTATTAATGTCATTATTATTATCATTTAGTATATTTATTTAATGGCAAATTATAAATTAAATCAACAAACTAAAGAGCAAACAGAATCATTTATTAATGGGTAATTAATTAATTAACTTGATCAATTGATCAATATAAAAGTAAGAAGAATTATCAGTAAACAATATCATCATCATTATTATTATTTTCAGATTTCAATCGATTATTCCTAAAAATTGGTTGAGAATGTTCTCTCCGCCAGAATTACAAAGGTTGTTATTTTTATTTATTTTTTAAATAAACATATTGTTTTAATTAACTTTATTAACTTTATTTTTATTAAAGAGTTATTTCTGGAGATGACGATGATTGGGGTAAAAAAAAAACAATATAATTATAATAGTGATGATGGTGATGATGATAACAATAATAATAACAATTTTTTGTTGATTTTAGATATCACAGATTTGAGGAGATGTACAGAGTATAAAGAAGGTTATTTTGATCAACATCCTTGTATAAGAAACTTCTGGTCAATTTTAGAAGATTTTAAATCCAATGATAAGAAAGCATTGTTAAAATTTGTTACAAGTTGTTCAAAGGTAGTTTTGATATAAATAAACTGATTGATTGATTGAAAACTTTTATTATTAATAACATTATTATTATTATTAATATCAAATCAAGCCTCCACTTGGTGGTTTCAAGTAAGTTAATAAACAACAACAACAACAACAACAATAATAGCAATAATAATATCATTATTATTATTACATAATGCTGATTAATTTCCTATCTATCTTCTCTTAAAGATTCTTAACTCCTAAATTTACAATTTGTAAAGTATCAATTGTGCTTGAATCTGACTCACCATTATCAACAACAACACCAAATAGTAATAATTTATCATCAAATTTAAGACAAGTTAAATCTTTATTTTCTTCAATTTCCTCCAATTTAAAAACTTCTGTTACTAATACAAGTAAAGCCAGATTACCAACAAGTTCCACATGGTAAAACAAAACATTTTTTTTATGATTGTTAAAGATGAAAAAACTCTTTATGGTCTACTTACTAACTTAATTAATTAATTAATCATTTTTAATAGTTTTAACTTATTAAGGCTGCCAGGTAAATATAATACATCTATTGTTGAAATTACAAATCATAAATTGGAATTAATGAAAATTATACTTTTTTTTTTTTTCAATTAAATAATAAAGCATATTCATCAAAATCTATAATGAAAGAGAAACTTAAATATGGTAAAATATTTTTGATTAATTGATTATTTATTTATTTACGCGATTTTAAATATTAAATTCAAAGCAACTAACCAATTAAAATTTTCATCCTAACAACAATATGATACAAAATATAAATAGCAATAGATTCAAACACTGGTTTTGAACTGGCTTGAATAATTTTTCTTTAATATATTAGAAATTAATTATTTATTTATTTATTTATTTATTACGTGATTTAGTTTTAATAAAATATTTCAGTTACATTCCTTCTTAATTACTTCGTTTATGATACTTTTTTTAGTTATTTTGCTTTTGATGATTTTTCATCTTCTTCATCTTCTTTATCATACTTTTTAAAGAACCATAATAACAAACTACCAGAAATAAAAGCACATACAGCTAATGATGAATACATATAAACTAAATAAGGATCTTTTGACAATGGTACAATCAGCAATCCTATTGCTGAACTTATTCCACTTGTTGTTAAAAATAAAGCAGTAACTGTTGAGCGGAATGATTCTGGCGCCTATATTAATTATTATTATTTAATTGATATATATATGTATATATATATTGTATGTATTATATATAAATATTTACCTTATCGTATGCATAACTTAATCCAGTGATACTTGCAAAAACTTTTAGACAATCAAAGATTAAAAATTAATATTCAATAAGAATAATAATTAATTTTTTTTAAACAATAAATAAAAACCTTCTGAAAATCCAATTAGAACATAAACAGGTGTTTGCCACCAAACACTTATATCATTTGGAACAGGTACACCATCTATTTCACATCTGGTATTGATATAACATGGACCAGTGGTATAGATAAAATGTTGAATTATTGCCGAGTAAGCCATAGCCAAACTGATCAACATGAATCCAATAAAGATACGAGTGATTGGACGTATAATTATGTTAAATCTTTGTAAAGTTGGATATCTAAAGAAAAATTATATTTAGATTATTAAATAAATATATATATATATATTATAATATCATCTCAAATTACTTACAATACATAGTTAGCAAAAGGTATAAAAATCATTAAAGCAACTGGATTTAAATTATTCATTACATCATTTGGTACTTTGCCAACTTGCATTGTAGCAGCTTGTGATATTAAATTATTAACCATTTGCAAGTAGCAAATCCAATAAAAAGGGTAGAACAAAAAAACCTTGCAAACTTTTAAAACTTGTTTAAACTCGTCAACAAATTTATCCGACCAATCTACATTATACTTTTTAGCTTTTGCTTCTTTTTCATCATCACTACCAGTGAACAATGTTTTAAAATTTGATGGTTTAAAATTATCCAGATTAGTGCTTCTAAATGTAATAACCAATCCTGTTATTCTAAAAAAATTTAAAATCGAATTATTATTGGCATTGTTATCTTCTCCTTCGATCTTATTATTGTTGTTACTGGCTTTGACATTGTTGGGCTTATTTTTAATCAATCTATTTCGATTAACTAGTAAGATAAAGATTGAAGGTACGAATACGAATATTGGAATCAAATAAGCTAGCCAGTATGAATGATATTTTTCAATGACTGTGATAATTAATGGAGACAGGGCACCAATATTTATTGACAAATAAAACCAATGAAATATCGATTGGATGGTTAATTTCGGATCAACTATAACCTCTTCTTCGTCATCATCGACATCTTCTCGTTTCTCTCCCTGATGAAGAGTTTCATTTTTTTTTCGTTCAATTTTTTTAACAAATGGTCTTGTATTTGTATATTGATCAGCAGTCAAAGGACCAACATTACTTTTGATACCACCAGTACCAAAACCTATGATTAACATTGAGATGATAAGGCCGATAAAAGAAACACCACTTGACGCGATAGCTTGTGGAATTGATGTTAACACTAAAACTGTTAATCCGATCGTGTAAACAATACTAAAAACTATTATTGTTTTAAACCTTCCAAGATAATTGTCAGCAATTACAGAACCCAATAAAGGTGTTATGTAACAAAAGAATTGAAAAAATAATGTCAAAGAGGTTGCAGTTTGTTGACCGGCTCCAATCGCGCCTGGTTGTCGATCACTTGGGGAAGATGATGGTGGTGGTGGTGGAAATTGAATGTAGTTTTGAAATGGACCGGAAATTCCATAATAAGTAAATCTTTCACAAAATTCACACAATATAACAAACCAAGCACCTATTATAAATGATTTTATTATTATATAAAAAAAAAAAATAGTAAGTTAATGTATACTTATTTATCTATAAATATTACTGTCAAAGCTCGTCAGAGTGAACTCTCGGCTCCATACGTTAATTATGAAAAAATAAATTGAAAAAAGAAAACATTCACTGTAACGAGCAAGGTTTTACTATTATCTACAGTGACGGGGGGTTTACTATTACTATTGTTCATTGTAATAACGACGAACGAGGTTCACTTGTTCGATTGTGAAAATTAAAATATTACTGACCAACAGGTAATTTATCCGATACTTTTCTTAAATTTGTCCAATCGTCTAAGCTTGGAGTCCTCCCATCCTCCGTTTCTCCTTTTTTTTCCACTTTAATAGCTACATCTGTTTGGTCAGCCATCATAAAAGTAAATATTTTTTAATAAAATAAAATAAAAAAACTTTTCATTGGGTTTTGCTAGTTTTTGTCATGATTAGTCTATATATATATATAATATAATATAATTTTATCATTATTGATAAATGAAACAATAATTAATGATTTCGTATGGCGGGTGGATTTGTCACATGCGATTTTGGCATAATAATAGTAATTATTATATTAATATTAATATATATCTATATATATATATGAAATCATGAAATATTAAATTGATGTGGTTTCTAAGCTAAAAATGCTCTTTGAAATGAGATACACATACAAATTTAAGGTTAATTGTGCTATCATATATGACGTCCGTTTTATTAGTGGTGAATAATATTCATTGGTTGGATTCATTAAATCTTTGTTAATTCATTGAATAATTAAAAATGATATTAATATTCAATGAATAGTTAATGGTTGATCAATATTTTCTTGAACCTTAATTGATTCAATTGCCGCCCATTTAAAGTTGGAAAAGACCTTAGCCACAATATAACTGAAGAAGGCAATAATAGGATAATGGAGGATTCTGCCGCGGTTCATATTCTGAAGAAGAGCAAACGAGGTTTTAAGAAGTCAATTCGAATGTGCGGATTTGACGAAAGAAAGCGAGAAAAAAGTTATTGCCAAATCAATGTATCCGAGATCTTTGATACTATTTTTCGTTGTGAATTGTTGTTGTAGTACGTGGTGATGAATCTATATATCGTACATTTGTTATCTGCTCATGTGTAACAAAAGATAAAAAAAGCAAACGAATATTGAATGAATGAATAAATTCGATGAATGCAGAATTTGCTAACATTTAGATTAAAAATCAAGTTTATGCATTACATAAAATTGCCACTCCTTGAGAACTAATAATAAGAACAGTCTAATGTTTGAAAAACTTAAAAAACTAAACTATCAATTATGCAATAAAAGTAAATTATGCGCTAATTATGCACATAAAATTTTTTAATTATGCAATTTATTTGAATCATAAATTCTTGATTTTTTCTTATGGGCAATGATTGTCAAAGGCTCCATTCATAAAATGATCACAAAAAATATCCCCCATCAACATGATTTGAAAGTAATTTGAAGGTGACTGACTGCACTACAATTCTGGATTAAATTTAAATCCAAAAAAGGAAGCTCGAACTAAAAAAATATCATCACTAATACATTTTTAATTACTCTTCATAAATATATAATTACCTAAACAGAAAGAATACACCAATCAGCTTTCAATGTTTATAATTTCTCCTTTTTTATAAATATTTGACGTTGATCGCGCGATAATAATAATAATAATAATTATTATGCATTATTCATAATAAGGAAAAATACCCGTCCGTTATTAAATGTATGAAGTCACGTGCAATTTTAATATTAACAAAACAAAAAAAAAATGTCTAATTAGGGTCGTATTTTGAATTAAATTAATATTTTTTGACCAAGTTGTCACTAATTTGTTTGTTGAAATTGGGGTTATCTGCTTTGTTAAATAAACCTATCTTTTTAAAACAAATCAAAAAATTCAATTATATGAAAATCAAAGTTGGTTTTTTAAAAAAACAATTTATAGTGATTTTAATAATAGAACTCAACGATTATATAATATTGCAAAATATTTTTATTAATAATATTACAATTTATTTGTTCTCTATATAATTTACATTATACCATGTCTTATATCATTGTTTATTCAAATAATCGTGTTTTTATTTTAAATAATCGAAGGTTTGATTTTTTTTATTTAATATATAGTACTAGGTCATATGAAATGGTTTTCAGTGCAATCCAGTATACGTAGAGATAGAGTCAGTTATAAAGCAAAATCCAGTATAGAAAGATCCGTTATGATTATAAGGAGAGTGGACTGTGTTTTATGTAATGCACATACATACATATGCTTCCTTTATATGGTGGTGTTAAGAATGGTCAGATCTAATTGGTGTGAAGATATTCGAGGACAAATAGGTCTTATTTTTATTAACGTTAGGTACTTTACAGTCGTGATATATTTATTGTTGGTATATATATTATTGATATGTTGATGGAGTAACCGCAAAAGAAAGCCAATATGAAACATTTGCTATACCGGTAATTTGGATTATATTAGAAACTATTGTCGATAGGTTTATTTTACTAATAAAGTGACTATAAATCA